GACACATTCCGAAGACACATTCGCCGACGACACCTTGAACCCTGACGACACATTCCGAAGACACATTCGCCAACAACACATTGATGAACCCTGACGACACAGAGACACTGACGACACATTCCGAAGACACATTCGCCAACGACACATCGAACCCTGACGACACAGAGACACTGACGACACATTGCGCAGACAGATTTCCTGGACAGATTTATTCTTAAATGGCGTATGTTCAGGACCAGCATGATTCAAAGGCTTCCAACAACGAGATTCCAAGATTCTCTGGAAAGCAGGGGGTCCTTGCAACTCTCTTTATTTCAGCAAAGCCGTGGCAAGTTGGACAATGTTTTGGGTCCGCGCGTGCGCGCGCACGCCGGAAGTTGAATATTGTATAGAGCTGATTGCGGCGCGCGCGCGCGAACCCATGTCTGATGGCTTCCGCGCTCAGTCTGTTTCCTCCCTGTCCAGCTTTTTTCCGTTTCAAGTCTTTCTTCCGTTTCTGGCTGTTCCTTCCATGTCCGGCCCTTTTTCCTACGGATTTTTTCCGTTCTGTTTCCTCCGTATCCGGCTTTTTTCCGTTTCAAGTCTTATCCGTTTCTGGTCTGTTGTTTTCATATCCGGTATTTTTCCGCTTCTTTTGTTTCGGGCTGTTGCTTCCATGTCCGGCTTTTTTTCCGTTGGAAGTCTTTACCGTTTCACCGAACGTGTCTTCGTCTTCGCTAGGGAAGTCGTCTGCGCTGGGGAATTCGTCTGCGTGGGACGCGTCTTCGTCTTCGTCTTCGCGTCTGCGTGGGACGCGTCTTCGTCTTCGTCTTCGCGAGGGAATTCAATTCGTCTGCGCTGGGGAACTCGTCTGCGGGTGATGCGCTTCGTCTTCGTCTTCGCGAGGGAATTCGTCTGCGCTGGGGCATTCGTCTGCGGGCGATGCGTCTTCGTCTGCGTCTTTGCCCAGGAATCTTCGGTTCAGTGCGTATCCATCTCAGGAAAGTGTCTGCGCAGTTCGTCTTCGTCTGCGGGTGCAATTTTTCACCCCCCCACGCGACCACAATGTTTATATATATAGTTGGCGGAAACTCGGAAATTAGCAATTTCCGAATTTCAGAAAGATGTACTTTTTTTACATAGTTTGGCGGACATTCGGAAATTAACAATTTCTGAATTTCTGCAAAATTTACTTTTATGCATAGTTTGGCGGAAATTCGGAAATTAACATTTTCTGAATATCTGAAAAATTTTACTTTTATGTATAGTTTGGCGGCAATTCGGAAATTAACAATTTCTGCATTTCTGAAATTCTTCAACTTGGTGTCTCTTAAACTTGGTGTTTCTGACGGCCGGGAGTTCTGACGTGTGATTGTTGGGGTCTACAGAGAACTAGGGTTTGTAGGGTCTTGGATTCGCAAAAACTAATTGCGTGATGGGCTGCTTCAAACATGATTTGGAAATGCACAGTTGCACAGCTGAATGTTCCCCAGATGTTCCCAGGTCCCAGTGTAGTTTCAACCATGTCATGGGCACCCTTCATTGTCAAGAATGTCCAACTCTGTTTCACATGTCCACCTAGCCAGGCCAAGGCGCAACCAACTGCTCCACTGGCACACACCCACACTAACCCTGTCTCACTCTCTCACGCCCTCGCTTTCTCTCTCTCACTATCTATTTCTATCTTTTTATGGCCTCCACCTCTCTCAACCCCATCCTCAAACCAACCTGAAGTCTCCATGCCCCTCTCATGACAACAACAAGTAAGGCAAACAATAAGAGACAGCCCTAAATGTTGTGAGACGTGTTGTGAGTCATATGTTGTATTTTTAAAGACAAGCTTCAGGCCCCCCCTTCCAGTGCAGATCAGGTTCTTGACAGCAAGGAAAGGGCTTAGGCCTGTGCTCAGGAAGTACAGCTGCTCCAAGTCTTTTCCTGATAGGCCAGCGAGCTGGCTGCCTGAGCAATTGCAGACTGTTGTCTTTGGGTTTATGTTATTATATTATGGCGGATGATTGGATGGTTATGTCACGCAATGATGGGTGGCCCCTTAATTTTCAACTATGTCATGCAATGATGGGTGGCCCCGTATTTTCAATTCAAAGATTGAACACAGTGATTCACTCTGCCACTGTTAGGCATGAATGTGCTGACTGCAGGAGCTAGGTGCAAAGAGGTCTGGATCACAATGCATCAGGTGGCGCACCTTCTCAGATATGTTCAGACAGTTTTTCCTTGGCTTTTGATTGTGCAATCAGATCATCAGTTCACTTCATGTCACCTGGACTCACTTGGACAAAACACTTCACAGGTGGTTTTACATACACCACACACACACAAACTGGACCCGCCCAACATCCTGCTGCCCAATCCAAGCAATCCAAGTGGCGAGGTTTGCACTTCATGCCTTTCTCTGTGAAATAAGGGCCTATGTGTCTCCAATGCCTTGGTTTCGAGTGGAGCCCTGAATGGAGACTTTGCCAGTCCAAATTTGTGCGGCTGATTTGGCTCAATGGTACATGATTGGCACATGATCTCACTCAAGCTTTATGACTGAAATCCCTGAGACAGGATCAATCAATAGAGGTCACTCAATAAACTTACAAAGTTCATTCAATGTTTTGCAAAGTCAAGGCGCCCTGGCAGGAAATCTGAATCAGAATCTGTCCCATCACCCTTTTGTTTTTTTTCTCTCTCTCTCTCTCTCTCTCTCTTTCTCTTGCCCTTGTTCTTCTCTTTCTTTCTCTTCTCTTTTGATGACCTTGACTTCTTCCTGCTTTCATTCCCGGGTGGAAGATGTGATGGTTTGAGGGTGAATTGAAAAGTGAGAGCATCCTTAGACTTGACATTGCTTGCCATGAAGGGAGGATTCAGTAGAGTCTACTGTTGAGTTGGGTTGGAATGGTTTTGGCGCCAAATACAACCCAAGACCACTCCAAAACAATAACAATGCTCCAAGGCTCTCATTGTCAGATTCCTGGCTGTCATCATAAGAGCACTCTTCACCAGAGTCTTCCTCATAGAGTACCTTTTCTTGGGTACCAATGCCCTCTCCCTTGGCCTCAGTTCAGCATAGTCCTTCATGTAGTATGGAAGGCCTCGCTTCCCAGGCTTTCCTCTCACTCTCCTCTTTGGCATGGCTACACTGAGGAGGATGATAAGCTTGCCAAGCTCTATTGATTGACCTCTATTGATTGATCCTGTCTCAGGGATTTCGATCCTAAACCCAGACCTTATTTAATGAGACCATGTCCCAGTTGGCCCCTTCATTGAGCCAGATCAGCCACACAAATTGGGTCTGGGAAAGTCTCCATTCAAGACTCATTCCTGAATCATCCTTGGATTTTCACATCATGTCCCTTTTGTCAGCTCAGTGTGAAGAACCAAGGATTTTCAAGAATGATTTTGGATGTACCAGAGCTGAAGCAAACCCAATTTGAAGCAACCCGACTCGCTATTGCAAGAGCATGATGAAGACCCAGGCCAAAGCGGTGCTGGCAGAGCTGAAGAAGCCAGCCCTGCTTGTTTTTTTGTGATGCTTGCTGTGTGATCAATTGCCAGGGGGATGCCAGCAACCCTGATGTTGTTTTCTATTTTGAGGCTATGAGTGGGCGCGCGGTATTTGTATGTTTCTGCTTGCTTCGTGGCGACCCCGCCTTTATGCAAATGGCGCTTCTGATGACCTGTGGCTCCATAGATCCATGATGCTCAATGAGTTCCAGAGTTGGTTGGCCTGTGTATGAACTTTGTGAGTAAAACCTGCTTTGGTGTTTATGCAGCAGGCTTGCCACTTTAGCGCTTTGAGGGGGCTGCGCTAAGGATAGGGAAAGTCTCAAAGTTATGACACCGGTATGCTGCGTGCGGCAATCACTTGCTCAAGAAGGAGCTGGGTTTTGGAGACTCCGTCACACGGCTTCAGATTCCTATCTGGAAAACTTTTGCAAAGGAGGTGACGTTGGCAAGTTGCTACTTCCAACAAACTTTGTCTCGCGTTCAAATTTTGTTGCATTCTGCTGCTGCTCAATGCAAACTTGTCTGCAGGTTGAAGTGATGACATGTCATGGTGTCTCTGAAATGCTGGAAACCCAAATGGATAAAAAAACAACAACTGCGCCCCAAGTGAAGATTGCGTTGTCTGTGGTTCCTTTTGGAGATGAATGCCAATGCCGTGACAGCAGTTCCATGACCTTGACTTGGATGTCCATGCGCAACAAAAAAGCATGCAGATTCACTAACCATGATCCCAACAGAAAATTACAGTATGTCCTTGAAGATGTTGCTCCTGTCCAGGGCCTTGCACCTGCACAAATCTGGACATCCATGGAGACAAATGGCATCTCTGACTACCCTGTGCCTGAAGCCTCTCCTTGATCACATCAACTGGCGCAAACACAAGGCAAGCGGCGGCCTTTCGAGTAAGCTGGGCAACGGCGCCAAAGAAAAACAAACGACGGACTGCAAGTGATATCGGATAAAAAACGATGCAACACTTGAACACATGCAGTACTAGTGTCCATCTGGCAACTGTTCTTTGATATATTTGAGACTTGCAGCGTGCAAGCGTGGATAGCTGTACAATCTACTCAAGGTTTGTGCATCGAGCACTCGCAATGATACCGTCACTGTTGAAACTTTGGCGAACTACCGCCAAATCCGTGACGAACCACATCTGAAACTTCGCACCAGTGTAGCATGTATATAATAACGGTCAATAACGCATGCTGCTATCGCGTCGCCGAGTTGGCTTGTGTTCAGACTGCTGACCACAACAAAGGGCAATCAATGGCACACGGCCATCAACATACTAAAATTCTCAGTCGCAATTCATCTTGGGATGCGCTGCGTCTTCCGCCAAGTTGTATCCACAAGGCATTGAGATGAGCTAGCAGCTAGTCATCAAGCACAGGGCCATGGTCACAGAATGCAGGCGCCGCGGCTGTCAAGTTTGTCATGCGTGACCCAGCTCCTGTCGTGGCTGTGACTCCAACTCTCTCGGAGTGGAGGTCAAGCCAAACTTCACCTAAGCAAAAACCAGTGACATCATTGACATCTGCGGTCTTGCTGAAAACCGCTATCAAAGCACAACGTATTTTACCTACCCTTGCAGTTTTTTCCCTTTGCTTGGGAAAGTGCAAATCTTGCGCGTCCTTTCCAAGTCTGAAGTTCCCGACAAGATTCCACGTGTTTCCACTAACATAATGCCATAAACGCCAAGAAACGAATAGCATCTCGGACCACATCGTCGAAATGCAAGTGGGCCATGGAAATTTGGTGATCCACTTGGCAAGCCTCAGCTAACTACACTCAAGGGTAGTTTGGGAAAGAAACCGGTAGCACAATGGATGCTTCTGTCAGCCTACAGCCAACTTTTGTCCATGCTTCCAAGGTTCTCGCTTCATCATCATGTCTATTGCCTCCTGAGTTTTGGAGTATTTAAGTTCGACGTACTGACACGAAAACGGTGGTGATAGTTGGAGTGAAAAACACATTTGCGCGACAAGCAGGACAGTTCATGCGTACTTAACGGTTTAACGCATCCCAATGCGTATGAGGGTCGCATGATCCATCCTCAGTGTTCTCTCTACTTGTGGCTGCTGGGGAAGGCCTCAGTGTATTGAACTTGACAGGCTCAGCATATTGCCCTTTGTCGCACCGGTGCTGACGGGCTTGGCAGTGGCCACAGGATGCCACAGGTCGGGCAGAAGGATTCTCAAGTTCAAGGTTGCAAAGGTGCAGCCTGTGAAATGCTCAGCCTAAATCAGTTCACCTACTGTAGGCAACTTTTGTGGGATCTTGAAGGCTCTGCGGCCCCACTCTGTCCAACAGAGTGGGGCGCAGTGGAAACAGCGAAGGCTAAACCAAACTTGCAAAAAAAAACCTGGGATCCCCTGGGCATGAACGGGGCAGCGTCATTGACACATTCTGGCACAAAGCTGTCGCGCCGACAGTTTTATCAGCGTTGTTGGGGTACGACCCGACGTGCTAACTTACCCCATCGCACATGAACTTGACCCACCCCCATGGCACACCGCTTACCCCACGAATGTAAGAACTTACCCCATTTGGAAAACACAATGGCACACCGCTTCGAAACAAGCACTTTTTCTCCTAGATTCTTTCTAAACCTACACGATTCCACTGCGATTCAATCTTCTACATGTTGATGTTTTCTAAGGTTCTCTGTGGGTTGCCGTGATCCAATCCCCATGGCACACCGATTCTGACCCACATGTTGGTACCAGCTTTCAGTTTCTACATAGAGTGCAAACAGCATGGAACGTCAAACATATATCTATTCATTCTTGCGTGTTTTCCTCTCCCAATCCCCATGGCACACCGCTTCGGAACAAGCACTTGTTCTCCTAGCCTAGATTGTTTCTAAACCTACACCATTCCATTGCGATTCAATCTTCTACATGTTGGTGGGTTCTAAGGTTTCCTATGGGCTGCCGGCTGCCATGGTCCAACCCCCATGGCACACCTCTGACCCACATGTTGGCGCCACCTTTAAGTTCCTACCTCGAGGGTAACCACCCAGACGCGAAAGTCCTTGCAAAGCAGTTGCGGCAAGCAAATCACACTGTGACACCACACCACGACTAAGTCACGACAGAGTCCTTGCAGCACTTAGTTTCCGCATGGGACACCGCGTCACCAAACAGGCCATCTAAGCCAAAACCATGCTTCCCAAGCCCAGTTTACAACACTGCCACAATGATCGGGTTTGTGCAACAACAGCCAGCAGCAAATGAGTAGGCTTTGTAGCGCAGGCAGCGGCAGCGGCAGCAGCAAGCAGCAGCAAGCAGCCAACCAGCAGCAAAACAACACCAACAACCCAACAGCAGCAGCAAGCCGGCAGCAGCAAACCAGCAGCAGCCAAACAGCAGGCAGCACGAAGCCAGCAGCAGCTAACCAGCAGTAGCTAACCAGCAGTAGTAGCTAACCAGCGAGAGCAAACCAGCAGCAACTGGCCGCAGCCAACCACCAGCAGCAAAACAGCACAGCGCAGCAGCAGCAGAAGCAGCAGCAGCACCCAACCAGCTGCAGACTCTGAGGTGTGCGTATATAGGCAGAAGCCAGCCGCAGCGGAGGGTTTCCCGTCGACACCGTCTATTTCTACCCACAACAGCGGTCAAAACGGGGTGGCGCAGCCAGCCAAAATGCCTAACGTCGCCTGGCTGGTCGCCTGCCCATAGAACAGTTGCCGGCGCGTTCCAAAGGCTGACTCCCAAGGCTGCAGTCCAGAGGCAGCCGAGGTGAGGCCCACAGAGCAATGCTGCTGCTCTGCAGACTCTGAGGTGTGCGTATAGGCAGAAGCCAGCCGCAGCGGAGGGTTTCCGGGCGGGCAAACGACACCATCTATTTCTGCCCACAACAGCGGTCAAAACGCGGGGGGGTGGCAGCCAGCCAAAATGCCTAACGTCGCCTGGCACGTCGCCTGGCCCTCGCGAAGAGAGCAGAGCCGGGCTACAGCGCTTTCTTCGAGCCTGGCAATGGGAACAGCCTGTATAGACCCAACCTTCACCTCCGCAAAACGCAACGACAAGCTGCGCCGGGTGATCCATGCTAGTATCCACAACTCAGCAAATGATTCACGAAACCTAACGTGCTAGCTGAGTTCTTTTTGTTCTAGCAATTCTGTATTGGGATAAGCTTGGTGCCTTGATCTTGATCTTTCATGCTTAGGGGGGGGCCTGGCCCTGGGTGCTGGCGCGGGTGCTGGTGCTGGGTCGGCGTTTTGCTTGGGGGATCGGCATTTTCTTGGGGTGTGGGGGGTGTTGGTGTTGGATTGGCGTTTTCTTGGCGGGTGCTGTTGATGATGCTGCTGCTGCTGCTGGATCGGCATTTTGTGTCGGCGTGCTGGTGCCGGTGCCAGGGATGACATCATGCCAGGGCCGCCAGGGCCGATGTCCGCTCATATTGCACCTGACAAAATGATGCTTGTGTTGCCTTGTGGTATGCATCGTTTCTTGTCGTGGATGACATGGTGTCATGCCAGGGGTGACATCATGTCATGTCAAGGATCGCTCATTAACAACGAAATTGGGATCGTTTCCTAAGGCACTATCTGCTTTTCTCCAAACGCCCGCTATCTCAGGTGGGGCCTATGCCGGTGTAATTTGTATTTGGGATTGCTTTTGAATTTTAGATAAGCCGATACTGATAGTGATGAACAAAGCCGACTAGATAAGATGAATATGATGAACCTTCGCTGTTGACGCATGCGGTCTTGTTCTACCATTGAACAACACATTGCATTTTACTAGTGAACTGGTGAAGTCTCAGAAAAGAAACGCTGAAAGCCAAGTTCAATGAAAAGACCTATGCGCCAATATTTTGAGTTGAGGATGAAATGTTTAAACAGTTTGTCTTCCGTGCCCCAGCTGCGCCACATTGGTAGCCCAAGATAGATGGCCAACAGTTTCCCAGTGCATATGCCCATTGCATCTGTCGAGGTGCGCGCAAACACTGAGAGTCTACACGTCCTGATTTCAATTTCGTTGATGTAAGATTTGATCTTACATGTCATCGTCGTTAGTGCCTTCAGAAACTTGGGTTTGATCCGTCATGCCTTCGACCTTGCCTACCATTGCTCTTATAGACTAGCTCCGTCTGTGCAACCCGCCCAAATTTGTACGAAAAACTAGGGTTATGCAGTGCAAAATCGTGTGATTTATTTATATAAAACCATTCTATATTCCATATAATTCCTCGCGTTTCCTGCTTTACTGCTGCTTGGCTGCTGTTGCTGCCCCTGCTGCCTGCTGCCGCTGCTGAGCACTACCTTTCGTCCACCTCCATCGCCTCAAGTAAAGTTGACTTTAATTACTGTCGACGGTAAGTTGACGCAAGGATAGAAATCTCACCCCAACGTCGACCTACTGGGTGCTCGGGTTAACTTGTCTCGAATGGCATGAACTTGTGCCAGATGAGGTGTGCCCTTGGGGGAAAGCTTGATTGGGCTAAGTTTTTGTATGTGTTGTTGTTGATCACAGGTTGAGAATTCGACCAAACCGCAAGGGCACACTGTTGATTCTGTCTCAAGTTTATTGTACTCCCAAGTGCGCCGTTGCGATTTCATCTTTTTGGCTTCACTACATTGTGATTAGTATTTTTCAACAATCGTTGCGAAACGGTGTCCCCAAGCAGTTTTGTGTCTAGGAGTGTAGACGATCATTGTTTGGTCATTTCATACTGTGTATTTGTTCTTTTTGGTGACTAGTGCTTGGAATACAACCAGCCTCAAGTTGCGCTTCCCAACCAATGTTGGGACAGAAAGGGGGCAGGCCTCATTTGCCTCGTGCATTTGTTTCTACATACTGGGTGCCTGTGTTTACCCCTATCGTGATCAAGATCTTGTATGGAAGCCGGTGTGCCATTGCGGGGAGCAATCAAAGCAGTGCAAACTAGAAGAGATGAGCTCCATCTTATTGATGCCAGATCTGCGTGGCACACTGGCTTTTTCGCGTTCACACTGCAATGTGAAACCAGTATACCATTGGGGTGAGCTATCGAATAGCTATGAAATTGAACTTGTTTCTAGAGGTTTCTTTTGTCAACCCATAGTTGAAGCCTTTTCGAGAAGGTCCCATCTCCATCAAAGCGGATGAGCGAGGAGCAGTCTGATTAGTGTTTTTGAGAAGTCGTTGCGAAGCGTGTCCCCACACAGTTGCGTGTCTAGGGGTGGAGGCGTTTGTTGTTTGGTAATCTATGGTAATCAATATATGTCGGGCTTGCTGCTGGTTTTCTGCTGCTGCTGCCGCCTTGCTGCTGCTGGTTGGCTACTGCTGCTGCTGGCGGTTGGCTGCTGTTGGTTTGCTGCTGGTTGCTGCTGCTGCTGCTGCTGCTGCTGGCTGATTGCTGCCGGTGCTGCTGCTTGCTGCTTGGTTGTTGCTGGTGCTGCTGCTTGCTGCTTGCTGCTGCTTGTCGCTGCCGCTGCTCCTACTCATTTGCTGCCTGTCATTGTTTTGCACGCCCTATGATTATAGCAGGTTTCTTCCATTGCAGACTGGGTATTGGAAGCATGATTTCAAGCTTGGTGGCAGGCCTGTTTGGTGAAACGCGGCGCCTCCATGCGGAAACAAGTATCGCACCCAGTATATGACTGGTTGCCACAGCTGCGTTGCGTTGCAAGGACTTCTGTGTTTGGGTGTTAGTGGGCATGGGTCTTCTGGGCAAACGTGTTCATCTCGCCCAATACCTCGCCCACATCTCGCCCTCTATCTCGCCCAACCCGCCAGGCACCAGGACCAACACATATGTGTAAGCAAAGGCCTCTTCAATTTACATGGGCCCTCCAGGCAAGGAGCGATTTGCAGGGTTCATGTCTTCAAGCGTTCATGTTCACATTTTTCGCAGGTGTGCCATGCGGAAGGAACGCGCGCGCACAGACACCAAAGAAGGCAAAACGCAAGCTAACCATGGGTTTTGTCGTGGTCTTAGCATACTTCTGGCAGAGATCGGAAGCGGGTGTGCACACCGTTTTCACCAATCCCACATCACAGATGCTTTGGTTTCTAGCCTCAGCTGCAGCAGCAGGATTGGTCTGTGGGCTTCACCTCGGCTGCCTCTGGACTGCAGCCAACTGTTCTATGGGCTCCCAAAGGCGACGTGCCAGGCGACGAGCCAGGCGACGTTAGGCATTTTGGCTTTCTGCGCCCCCCCTGTTTTGACCCCTGTTGTTTCAAGAAATTGATGGTGTCGTTTGCCCGCCCGGAAACCCTGCACCCCCCGTTTTTGACCGCTGTTTTGGGCAGAAATAGATGGTGTCGTTTGCCCGCCCGGAAACCCTCCGCTGCGGCTGGCTTCTGCCTATACGCACACCTCAGAGTCTGCAAAGCAGCAGGTGGGCTTCACCTCGGAACGTGCCAGGCAACTGTTCTACGGGCTCCCGAAGGCGACGTGCCAGGCGACGTTAGGCGCCCGGAACATTGTGTTCTCGCTCTCAAAACAAGTCGGGATTGGGTTGCTGATGGGTTTCGAAACTGCTTTGAACTGCACGCCCATTGTACCTGGCGGACTGAAGCTGCCAGATGTCATTACCAACCACTGTTGGAGCAAAACCATCTCCCGAGATGCTAAATCCCATCTGCAAAGTAGCTGTGGAGAGGATCAATGATGATTTTTGCCAAGCTCAACACTGCCCGCGTCGTAGGACAGCAAAGCACGCTTTTGAGATGCAGGATGTAGCCAAACTGGCGTTCCAGTTCGGCAGGTTATGACTGTTCTTCGAGAAACGTTTGATGATTTTGATATACTGTATAGTGCTCAACTCCGCTGTGTTGCGCAAATGGAAGTCGGAGAACTTGGAAGACGCAATGGTAGCAAAGTGACTATCCGCTTTTTCTATTCCTGATTGCGATACGCGGGTATCCGATACACACGGTTTCCGTCGCAAGTTCAAAGCCGCGGCAGGTTTGGTCTTGTCTTCCCTTCCGAGGAAACTAACGCCACGTGCGCGGCAGTGTTGGCACCCATGATCATCTGAACGATTCACTTCCCAACTGCTACAAACAATGAAGCAAGCTTGGCGCGGCCACTTGCGTAGGCATGATGTGAAAGAAGCAAATTGGCAAGAAGGCGCAGGTACTTCTCGGGCGGTCGAGGACCATTTGCCTGTCTTGTGGTCCCAGTTGTCCGCATTCGCACCACGCGCGCGGCGCCGCGGAAAGAGTCGCAGGAGAATTGTTGGATGCTGGATTTGCAAAAGGACGTCTCAACTCAACTGCAGGCCACCAAACCAAAGGTTGCTGCCGAAGCTGACTTAGAAGCACTACCAAATGGGGCCCGTGGGCATGAAAGGGACAGCGTCATTCACATGCTGGAGCCAGGCATGCATGATCATGCCACTACCTCCTGCCAATACTGCCAAACCTGCAACAAGTCCTGCGCTGGCCAAAACTAGTAACTAGTCAGGATAAAAAAATCCACAAACAAACCATGGTGGCGCAAAAATGATTCCAACTGCCCCGAACACGAGAAAACAGGATCCCGAATGTAGAGCTTTCGAAGCCTTCAAAAAACTTGTGCCGAGGCACAGGGAAGCTCGCAGGTTGCTAGCTTCCACTCGCTCGAAATCCTCGATGTCGTGGCCATCAATCTTGCGGAGTTGAGGAAGCCACCGAAGGATACTTACCTTCAGGAACTCTCCAGCAGCAAAAAGCTCCAAACAAGTCAGAAAATACAACACCAAAATAGCAATACGTTATTACTTAGTTGTTGCATTCTTGACGCTTAAGGGGGACCAGGTGAGGGACAGGATGACACTCCCTTGCACGCTGGGCTCCCAGTATTCAATCTTAGATCTGCTTGTCCAAGAGACCCTGAAACTTGCCCTTCCACTGCAAAGTGGGTTGTCCTGCACACATGACATCAATGAGAAGGAACTTGAGGAAACCTTTGCGTTCACTGACACGTTGCTGTCCTTGATGGCCACATTTCTCAAGCGTGTCAGTTTTCTGAAAGGCTCTAGCTCTTTGGGACTTTGAATCCTCACAAAATCAGCAACTCCATATCCATTTCGTGTCTCACTCATACTCTACTGCTGAAATTGTTAAATGTACCATGTTGCGCCCCAGTAAGGACAGCAAAGTTTTTTCCAGGAGTCTCCGGCTTTCGGGTGGGAGAAACTTCCTTGAAGAACCCTCGGCCAGCCGTGAATTCAATTGTAATGCTGTTTCCCATCCAAGCGACTGATTGTGTACAAAGGTAATGCTGTTCAAATCTTTGAACTTGGTCAAACGAACCATCTCATTGGCCAAAGCCCCCACAAGGATGTAGTGAAAATGAATGTTGGTCACCGTGCTTTGGTATTCCTTAGTCCAGCAGTCTTGCCGAGGAGGCGTGCGACACGCGTGGAACAAAGGCACGCGCTCGAAATACTCTGTCGCAAAGGCGTACCTTCCACTGAAACATGTCGTTGTGGAGCATTGGAGGTTTAAATTTCCTGAAACGGACTGACTTCATGCACGCAGGCTAGGTCCAACCTGCGCTCTCAAGGGTTACCTGCGTGACCATGTCACTTGCAACTGCGCACACTTTGACATTGGTTTTCAGTTAGCTCAATTCCCAGGTCGAAAATGGTGAGGGAACGGCAAGGCGAAAAGGTCGGCGAGAACTGTATGGTTGAACAATGTTTGCAATCTGACACACAAGCGCGGCAAGTCAGCGGTGGGAAAAAAAAGGTTTGGGGGACGTAGCGTGAACCACCATGGAATCAAAAAAGAAGGATTGGAACAGCGTACTCAACCGTTGAAGCAGGTACAGGTGGATGATCAGTCCACCCCTCCCTCGTCATACCGTAGCGTCATTGCGTACGGTGGGTATGACGAGCCGTACGCCCTGCTTTGAAAACATGGAAAGCCCTTAAGGGACAGGGTTTGACACACACACACGGTGCCGCTTTGCGGCGCTCGTGCGAACGACCTGAATAGGTACCTAAAAAGCCTTAGAAACAAAAGAAAGAAACACAGAAAGAGCAGCGCTAAGAGGGCAAGAGGGAAAGGTAGGAGTAGAAAAAAGTGAATACTTAGCCCTTGACTGGGGTAGGGAAACGAGCCTCAAGAGCAACCTAAAAAGCCTGAGAGAAAGGCCAACAAACGACGAAAAGCGCAAGAAGGAAAGGGAGGGGGCAGGGAGGGGGTGTATGTCCATGTGTGTGTGTCTGAATACTTAGCACTCTAGTTACTGATTACTTAGCAGAAACGAATTAAGTGCAACAGTTAGGGAGCGGGACTTTAGTCTTAAACCGCCCGGGTAGAGAAGACTAGAAAAGGGACAACAGAGGGAAAGGCACCGACACACAAGTGTGCCGAGTACCATTTCCCTCTGTTACCCTAATTAGGTAGGGAGTAGAACTCGGCGGGGAGGGGGGGTTGGGAAACCACGCCTGGCCTCAAGTGGAAATGAATTCTGTTTTTAAGCCCGGCGGCTGTGGTGGCATGTCGTGTAAGCCCGACGGCTTTTTATGCAGTTAATCCAGTGGTGAAAAGAAGTCGGTTAAGAGAATCCAACGAGTGGTGGAAACGAAAAGGCTGGCGCCCCTGTCACGGGTATCACACCCAGCACCCAAGTGGGACGGCTGAGCGGTTCACACTTTGACATTGGTTTTCAGTTAGCTCAATTCCCAGGTCGAAAATGGTGAGGGAACGGCAAGGCGAAAAGGTCGGCGAGAACTGTATGGTTGAACAATGTTTGCAATCTGACACACAAGCGCGGCAAGTCAGCGGTGGGAAAAAAAAGGTTTGCGCGACGTAGCATGAACCACCATGGAATCAAAAAAGAAGGATTGGAACAGCGTACTCAACCGTTGAAGCAGGTACAGGTGGATGATCAGTCCACCCCTCCCTCGTCACACCGTAGCTTCATTGCGTACGGTGGGCATGACGAGCCGTACGCCCCTGCTTTGAAAACATGGAAAGCCCTTAGGGACAGGGTTTGACACACTCTGACATTGGTTTGCTGTTAACTCAATTCCCACATCGAGAAGGAAGGTGAGGGAAACGCAAGGTGAAAAGGTCAGCGCAACTGAAATGTTTAATCAGTTCACGAACGCGCAGCAGCTGAAGGCGGCGGAGGGAAATGGTTTGTGGGAGTATCATGAACCACCATGGAAACAACAGAAGGGAAATTGGACAGCGTAATCAACAGTGTCCTGGCAGGTACACAGATTGGCGTCCCAATCTGCTTCACGGGATGTCCACAGCTGTCTTCGTTGGCAGCAGAACTGTGGATTCCCTGCTGCCCCCTGCACTTGTGGTAGAAAAGCAAAGACAAGCGGAACCCTTAGGAACAGGGGTGACGCACACAGGTAGCCGAGGTCGGCGCAGGCGCATGAAAAGGTGGCATCGTCTGCTTTTTCCTTAAAAAACGCCGGCTTGCTGTTGGGTCATGTCCTTTTTGGACGTACAGCCGGATAAGCTCTTCAGCCGCTGCCGCTGCGGTGTTGGGTGGAAAGGTGTATGTGTATATTGCATGGAATCTGGAAGCTAAGCCGGAAAGAGCCAAGCGCTGGCTAACGGCGGTGGTGGGATCCCTGATTTTCCAGGGTTGTGTGGGTTGGATGTAGGTGATGGTTCGTTGTGGTAGGTCAATGTTGAAGCCCAGGAGGTGAAAGTCGTCCACTGTTTACCGCTCTACTGGATCGCCAAAGAAGTTGTGGTGAATGAGAGTCTGTAAAGCTGGGTGGGAGAGGAAGTGTTCGTTGTGCACGATGAAACGGTTGTCAACGTATCTGTAGTAAGTAAAGTGGAGGGCTGTGTGCTGGAGAAGGTTGTTGTGGAGCTGGTGCCAGGAGTGCTCAATGAGGGTGATTGCAACATTGCAAATGGCAGGAGAGAGTTGGGAGCCAATCCCAGCCCCTCGGATTTGTTTGTAGGTGTTGTTGCATGCCCGGAAAATGAGTGCAAAGGCGACATGTAGTGTCTGCCAACGTGGGAGTGATGGAAGGGGTTGCCGGTGGCTTTGGTGTCAACGGTCAGGGTGTGTGTAGTATGTTGGTGCTGCCATTGTTGAATCATAGAGTGGACTGCGTCAATGAGGCGGTGTTGGGGCACTGAGTTGAAGAAGCCCGCAAGGTCATCGTTGGTCGCGCGAAGAGGAATGTCTGCCGGTGTGTGGGTAAGGTAGCAATGGAGGTGGCGCCATAGTTGTGGGATGGACAGTTGGCCTGGATGTTGTGGCAAAAGGTGTTGCAAAATGATGTCGAGTGCTCGGCTGGTGATGCGTAAGAGGTTGCCACTCAGGGAGTGGAAATATGAGATAATGGTGCGTCCTTTCTGCCACTGCTTCTTGGCCTTGAGGTGAACAATGCTGTATGGGATTGTGAAATCCTTTCTGAATCCCCATTCGTATCGGGAGCGAAGGCTGGCCGGTATGGTGGCGGAGAGGTGGTCATGGATGTTTGATGAATTGAGATGTGGAAGGGGTTCAAAAAGTTCCGGAGCCTGCCATGTGTTGAGTGCGCCTGTGAAGTATTGACGTGGGCAGAAAATCCGGGGTTGTTGGAGTTTGTGATCAGCATGATGGAGTACGACGTTGTCGCCCAGGTATTCTTGGAGTTGACGGATGAGGCGAGCTGTAAAGCGCGGTTGTTGTTTGAGGTGTGTTGTGTGAAGTCTCCATTGGTGCTGAAGGAAAGGCCCCAAGTGTTGACTGAGCGAGGTCGGGAGCCCTTGCAACCGGAGCCATTTGGTGAAGGCGGTTTGGAATGTGAGAAAGTTTCTGGCTTTGCTGGGGAAGAAGGTGCTGTTCATATTGGCGTCTAGGAATATGCGGAGATGTGGTGGTAACGTCAATTGGTCCAAGGTGAGGATGTAGTGGTCGCTGGTGGTAGCTGTGGCGGGCTCGAGAAGAAGGTTTTTTAGGTGAGAGCAAGCGCACGGGAGGTCACTGGGGTCAGGAGGTGTGTGCAAGGTGGCTTCCCAAGCGCGATGGTTGTGAAGCTGTGCCCGGAGTGTTTTGTGGGCGGCTTCGCGTAGACGGTGTGTGGGGAGGTGAAGTGGAATGGCCAAATGCTTGTGTTGTTGGATAGTGGTTTGTAGCCATTGCTGGCAGTGCTTGGTGAACTGGTCATGTGCCAGGAATGGTACTGTAAGGGGAATGTTGGGCTTGGGATGTGTCAAATTTCTGTAGTGTAGTGCTTTGTTGATAATGTGGAGGGCTCGGCTGCGACCTGGCTCTTCAAGGTTGGAGGCCATACGTCTGATGGCTTACACTTCTAGGTCAGTATGACGGCCGCTGCGAAGTTTTTTGCTTGGTGAGATTGCGGAGAAGAGTTAAGGCTTGATGTTTTGTGGAGGTAAAAAGGTATGGTTCTCTGATCGTCTGCTGTCGTCTGCGGAGCTTGCGAAAGAGCCGCTTGTGAGTGGCTAAGCGAGAGTAGAAATGTGCTCGGTGCTTTGTGAATTGCCATCCCTCGGCCTTGAGATGTTGGGAGATAAAAGGCCAGTTGAGGGGTTGCATCCAGTTGGAGATGAAGTGGTGTTCTTTGATCCATGCTTGATCGTAGTTGTCGTGGGAAGAGAGCTGGATGGTGGTGAAGTGGTGAATATTGTCATGTGAATGCCAGTAGCGCAGGGATAGTTCAGCGGAGACTGGGATGTTGTTTTGAAGTCGTTTGAGCTTGGCTCGGCGATTGTGTTCTCGATGGGGTATGCCAATGGCAGTGGAGCCCACATAGTAGTGGCCATGTTGGTGGTAACAACGTTGTGGAGAGATGGTGTTGAAGTGGAGTTTGATGTAAACTGAGTTGGAGGAGAGGAAGTTGTGGTAGCGGTAAGTGTGAGGCAGAACCTGAAGGTGTCGCAAGCGTTGGCGCCATTGTTGGGATCGTTGTGTGGAAGAAGGATAGCAAAAGAGAAGGGTGATGTGAATGAGGCCGACAGCGAAGATGGCTTCAGCGCGTTCGATGTATTGGCTTTTGTGGATCAGTGTGGAGAGGGCGCGGTGCAAATGGTAGAGTTGTTGCAGAGAGAGAGAGAGAGAGTCAGCACGCAACGGCTGCCCCTGTACTGACAATGTGCTGTAAGCTTTTGATAGTCAGTTTCTTGACGCGGGCTAGTGGCAAACCATATCGGGTGGCAGCTTCTTTTAGTTGCTCAGTGGTTACTTTGCTCGTCTGCAAAATGCGCAGCACTTCCTTGGCGGATTCTTGAATAGCTGGATCGAAGATGCGCATCCATTGTTGGATTGCCGGGGCTGTCCACGATTCTGGGACATCGTCTTTTAAAGACGGATGCGGTGGTTGAAGGACATCGGACAGCTCATGTGGCTTGTGTGCAGCGGGTTCGGCTGGAGCAGCTGGTGCACTGGGGGCGGAGGAGCGGCCGGCCTCTTTGCGGGGTGTAAGTTCGATGCCGTGGGCTTGCAGCTTCTCTCGGGCTCGTGCCAGGTCGTCAGAAGTGGCTTTCAAGGCGCGAAGGGCTGAACCTTCTGCGGCTGCTGGAGCGTGAGCTTGGTTGTTGAGTGAGGAGAGATATCAGTGGGGCGTGGAAGGCGCGAGCCTGGGTGCTCTTGTTGGGAACTTCGGTGCCTTGGGAAGTGTGTAAGGCTTCAGCAATAGCGTCCAGGTCAAGGCGCTTGTCCCGAATTTCTTGTAATAGGTGGGTGGTGAAGACGGACTCTGCTATGCTGCGTGTTGGGATGAGGCCACAGTACTTCCCGTGGCTGAGAGTCCTGGCCGTATAACCTGCCGTACCGTGGTACGCGAGGAGCCACGGGAAAACATCGAAGGTGGGAAGACCGGCGATGCCGACGCGACGTGACCATTGGGTGGGTTGTATGGTGCGGTGAAGTTGATGGCCGTGTAGAGAGTTAG